CCCATGACCCATTAACCCCATAATCCCATAACCCTATATCCCCATAGCTCCATAAGCCTATCACGGTGATTAAAATGTTAATCATTCATGACCAAAGATTTCCTAAATTTATGGAATTAAATAAAATAATTCTATGACCTTGCATTCTCACTGTACTCATAAAATAAACATTTGTTCCTGAAACGAAGGCGAGACCGTCGGCATTAGCGTCACCCGATGTACACCGCGACGCAGGTACAGGAAGAACAACAGAGTGAGAAATTGACCCGCAATCGTCATCGTCATAAACCATAGCTTCAATCATTGACGATGATATATGCAACATGTATATAGAATGGTGCTTCTGTTACATGGATTTCTGCTGAAGAAAATGAATCTGATAGTGAAGATAGCGATACTATCGTATCGAAGTATTCTCAAGATTGGTGTTGAATGATCTTATAGAAGACTTAGGTTTACCAAAAGATGGGGTTATGGGGTTTATCTAATTGGTTTTTGTGTTTATGGCTTGAATCAAAAGATATGGGTTTCGAGCTCAGATTATGGTGTTTTTTGAGGTTATGGCGGAACCCCGACCCGATAGGGTTTAATGGACCTCGGATTCGGATTCAGCGACCCCAAAAACATATAATAAACATGGTCTGATCCCCAGGCCAAAGAAATTTTTTTTTGTGTGGCTGTGTAATTTATTTGTTTATTCTGGTTTGCTGAACAGAAAACAGTGTTGTTTTAAATTTGACACAGGCTCCGATGTGTCTATCGTGAATTCTAATTTAGTAGGGAAGTCTCAATGTCAAAGGTTGTCGGGAAAGCCGGGATTGAGATATCCTACCGGTGAGAAAGTTCCGGTTCAGTTAGAATGTGTGGCTTGAGTGGTTGTAGGGAGATATTCTTTAAATATGCCTTTTTACGTGGCGAATACTTGATGAATGTATTCTAGGGCTGGACTTCTTCAGGAAGACAGGTCTGAGCAGGGCGTTGGAATCGCTCTTTATTGCTCCCTCGAATGAGTCGAGAATGTCTTTTTGTCGGGTGTATGACATTTCCGAGGAAGTTCCGGCTAATCTAAAAAATTTTTATGAGCGGAATTCTGTTGATCTGAATGAGGCGCAGAGGGATATTTCTGCTAAGTTTATGATTGAATTTCAGGATGTTTTCTCTGATCAGATCGTGGCTGGGAACTGTGATGTTCTGCAGCATGAGATAAACCTTCAGGATCCACGCCCGATTAAGCAGGCTCCGAGGAGGATCCCGGTAGGAATGCGGGCTGAGAAGGATTCTTCAGGAAATGAAGAACCAGGGAGTCATCGAAGAGTCTTTTGGCCCGTGGGTTTCTCCGGCGGTTATTGTGAAAAAAAAGGACGGCTCTTTGAGGTTTTGTGTAAATTATCGCAAATTAAATGCGGTTACGATCAAGGATTCTTTTCCTCTTCCTAGAGTAGATGATCTTTTAGATCAGTTGTCCGGGAACGAATGGTTCTCCACTCTGGATATGAAAAGTGGATCCTGGCAATTGAAGATTTGGCCAGAGGATATGGAAAAAACTGCTTTTTCGGTAGGCAATGGGCTGTGGCAATTCACGGTAATGCCTTTTGGCTTGTGCAACGCTCCGGCCACGTGTGAGCGCTCGATAGTGCGGGTTCTCCAGCAGTTGTTGACTAAGAGTTGTTTGGTTTATTTGAATGACATTGTTGTGTTCGGTAAATCTTTTGAGGAGAAAGTAACTAATTTGAAGAAAGTTTTTCTGAGACTCAGGGCGGCTAATTTGAAACGTAATCTTAAGAAATGCAATTTGTTTAGGAAACAGGTGAAATATCTTGGCCATGTGATTTCAGCTGAAGGCATCTCGACGGATCCGGAGAAAATTGCAGCTGTGAGGGAATGGCCTGTTCCACAGAATAAAAAGCAGGTTTGCAGTTTTTTGGTATTTTGTTCTTATTATCGCAAATTTGTTAAAGGTTTCTCTTTGATAGCGAAGCCCCTATTTACTTTGACTGAAAACCAGGTGAAGTTTGTTTGGACTGAGCAACGCCTCGGGAGGCGTTTGCAAATCTTAAGCAGACGTTGTCTTCTCCTCCTGTGCTCTCTTTTCTTCTTGAAGAAGGAGAGTTAATTCTGGACAGTGATGCTTCTGGCCATGGTGCTGGCGCGGTTTTATCGCAGGTTCAGCGGGGGACGGAGAAGGTCATCGCTTATTATAGTTGGGTATTGAATAAGGCTGAGAGAAATTATTGTGTTACTCGGCGCGAGTTATTGGCTATGGTTCATTTGGTAAGATCTTTTCATCACTATCTGTATGGGCGGAAATTTCGGGTTCGAACTGATCATGCGTCCCTTAGATGGTTGATGTCTTTTAGAGATTTTGAGGGTCAGTTAGCTCGCTGGGCGGAAAGACTCTAGCAATATGATTTTGAGATAGTTCATCGGAGTGGTTGAGCGCATGAGAACGCGGATGGGCTTTCCAGGCGACCTTGTGCAGAGTCTTGCTGCAAATATTGTTTTAAGGTTGAGAGTAGAGACGCCTTGAAGCAGGAGGAACGGGTAGCTCGGATAGTTTTTGAAGAGTTTGCGTCTGAGGAATGGCGAAAAGATCAGTTGGAAGATCAGGCCGTATCGATTATTTTACAGGGAAAAGAAAAAGGTTATCATCCCTCTTGGGAAGACGTGTCCGTTAGAGGCCCTTCTTCGAGGATCTATTGGTCTCATTGGGACGCTTTAGTTGTTTTGGATAGAGTTCTGCATAAGAGGTGGGTAGCTCCAAATTTAAAGTCGAGTTTTTTTCAGATTATTGTTCCTTGGAAGAGAGTTGAGCGAATTTTAGAAGAAGCTCATGATGCCCCTTCTGGGGGTCATTTCGGAATAAATAAAACGTTAGGAAAAATTCGTAAGCAGTTTTATTGGGCTTCGTGCAAGAGGGATGTCGAGAATTGGTGTAGGTCTTGCAAAGTTTGTGTAGCGAAAAAAGGCCCTGCGGACAAAGGTAAGTCTCCGTTGCAGGTTTTTAATGCCGGTGCGGCTTTTGAAAAGTTGCAAATGGACATTCTGGGTCCTTTTCCGGCGTCTTCTTCAGGAAATAAATATCTCCTAGTGGTTGTAGATTGTTTCTACAAGTGGGTGGAGGTTTTTCCTTTAAAGAATATTAGGGCGTCGACTGTGGCGGAGGTTTTTGTCAATCAGATAGTTTCTAGATATGGGGTTCCGTTGGAATTACATACGGATCAGGGTAAGAATTTTGAATCTCGACTTTTTCAAGAATTGTCGTGGTTGTTAGGAATGAAGAAGACAAGGACTACTGTTCTTCATCCACAATCTGATGGACAGGCCAAAAGACAGCATCAGACGATTTTGCAGTATTTGTCTAAGTTCGTTGACAAAAATCAAAGGAATTGGGATCGTTGGGTTTTGATGTTTTTTTTTGCTTACAGATCTTCTAAGCATGAGGCTACGGAGGTTACTCTTGCTGAATTGTATTTCGGGCGTGATTTACGTCTGCCAGTAGATTTGTTAGGGTGGTACTCTATTGACCACAGTACGATTCGACACCGCTCGATTCGACACAGATTTATTCGACACCAAATTATTCGACACCGTACGATTCG